GGGAAGGGAGAAGAAATGTGTGGGAAATATCAGAAAGGGAGACAGAACATAAAGACTTCTAACTCTGGGAAATGAACTAGGGGTGGTGGAGGGGGAGGACGGTGGGGGGTGGGGGTGAATGGGTGACGGGCACTGAGGGGGACACTTGACGGGATGAGCACTGGGTGTTATTCTGTATGTTGGTAAATTGAACACCAATAAAAATTAATTTATTAAAAAAATATATTGGCAGTTCCAGATCTGCTGCTAGGAGAAACATAAATAAAAATTTGTCCTCCCATCCTAAGATAGTCAAGAGGATATAAAGTCGTCATTTTTTTTTTTCAGCGAGCCATCTGAAGAATAAATCACTTTTCAGTTTTTATGATAAATGTGAGGGAAAATATATCTGAATAATCCAAGCATGTGAAAAATGGCTCTAAGAGCAACAATAAAAAGCCTTCCTTCAGGGGCAAAAAAAGTGTATCATGAAGTAAGATATGCTACCAGGAAGACTGCAAATAAACAGAACCAATTATCTATATTGAATAACTTCTAAGTACCAGGTCCTATGCTAGGAAACTTAATATACATTCATATACATTATTTCATTTCATCCTCATAATAATCCTACAAAGTCCAAAAATTAGCCTTCATATTCTTTAGAATACAAGAAAGTGTAGTTTAAATAATTATTCAATCACTCAGAAGATGAATATCAAGACTCAAAATATAGACCCAGGTGATCCCACAGTCTAGTTTGTTCCTGAGGAAGATTCATGAGCAAAAGCAGAGTCCTAAATTCAAATAACAGTCTAGTTTGACTAACAATCAGGATATGTGGGTAATTTGGGGAGATGCTAAAAATCAAGCTGGGTGCCTTATGTTTTTCCTTAGAGATATTGACCAAAAATGATTTAATACTGTGACTATTCATTTGCCTTAGCTGTCATCCAAAGTTATGCCATTGTTGTGTCACAGTAATCTGATAATTAGGCCAAAGCCTGATCAGAAAAAACGAATGAAAAAAGTTTCCTCATGTTCTCTACCCCTAGAGATCAATTTGTTTTTATATGGTGCCAAGGACTTGGGGTCTGCTACTGAAAAAGACCAAAAAGTTCCCAGAACTGGGAAGTTCACAGAAGTCCCAGATTTAGGTTAACTCCTAGGAAAATTCAAGGGAAGGGGATCCCTGGGTGGCTCAGTGGTTTAGCGCCTGCCTTTGGCCCAGGGTGCGGTCCTGGAGTCCTGGGATCGAGTCCTGCGTCAGGCTCCTAGCATGGAGCCTGCTTCTCCCTCTGCCTGTGTCTCTGCCTCTCTCTCTCTCTATGTCTATCATGAATGAATGAATTAATTAATTAATTAATTAATTAGAAAGAAAGAAAGAAAGAAGAAAGAGAAAAAGAAAATTCAAGGGAAAAGGCTGGTTATGGAGCTATCAAGGTAATCTGACTTGCTTTCAAGCTGGAGTAGACTAGTCAATAGAACCATGAATTAAGACCATTTATGTAGTTCTGGGTTGGTCCATACAACCAAACACTGGTAGCAGATCACCATGGTACATAAATAATTTGTACCCCTATTTACCTTACATAAGCTCTCCTTTCTCACCACTTGAATAGCCACCTTCAAGTACAAATCTATATTTTGCAGAAGAGTTTTCTTTAAAAATTTGAACTTAGATGGCTAATCTAATTGAGGGACACATAATTTCACGGTAAATGTGCCCATGGCTTGTATCAAAGAGTTTAACAGCCCATCTCATTCTGAGTGAGTGGCACTCCAGCTATCAGTTCAATCAATGTCACTAAAATCTCTAATGAAAAATACTGGTAGTAACCCAAGACTGGTTATATCATATACTCAGAAAGGTATGTTTGGATGATTATATATGAACCATTCTAAATTTCCTTCAGGCTACCCAATGGATCCTCTGATTAGTGGATAATGAGCCTATTATTAAGATCTCAGGTTCATTAGCAAACATGATACAACATAAACTGCCCTAATTTAAGAATCAGAATTCAAGTCTTGGATATCACTTAATAGCCATCTCAGCTACCCTCTATGAACCTGTTCCCTCATTATAACTACAACTCCATAAAACTGCTTTGAGGGTAAAGTGATGTAACTGACGTAAAAGAACTCTGATAACCAGAGAACATGCCAACAGTGCTGTGGTGCTTCCCAGGGTGTGGCAGGCCAGTGCATGATATGAGTCAAATGAGGTGAACTGCAGAGCATTTTCAGGGAAGGGAAGGCCCTTTAATGTAATTATAATCCTCCCCTGAATCACTATCGGTAGAAAACCCAAAGTCTCACTGAAGCTGAATATATAAAAATTCACTAAAAAAATGTCTCTAGGGTACCAAACCTGAAAGGTGCATTTGAGATTTCTCATAAGAATGATCTTGAGTCATAGAATTTAAAGGACTCGAATAGGACAAAGTAGATACAGCCTACAGCAAGGACAGAGCAAAGGTAGCAATTAAAGCCTGGTCCAGACCTGAGTCAACCAATCTATCTTCCTCTAAGAAGACAACCAGCCCACAGTGACACTGGCCTCTCTCAAATGGTGACATCCAGGAAGAAAAACCTATTCTCACTTCTAGACCAAAGAAAAAGGTCTTATTTACTTAGTAGGTATCTTATCAACTAGAAAATCCCTTTGGTGGTTGTCTCAGTCAGTTCCAGGCTACTGTTAACAAATTACCAGACTGGGTAGCTTACACAATAAATATTTATTCTTCACGATTCAGGAGGTTCAAAGTTCAGGACCAGGTATCAGCATGGTCAGTTTCCTGGCGAGTGCCCTCTTCTTGGTTATGCTATTATCTGGCCTTTTCTTGGTGTTTATATGCAGAGTGAAGTTTCATGTTTTGTTTTGTTTTTATAATACCATTAATCCTGTTATGAGGGCCCAACACTGATGACCTAATCTAACCCTAATTGTCTCCCAAAGCCCTACCCCTAAATACCATCACACTTAGTTTCAGCATACGAATTTTGGGAAGGTACAAACATTCACTCCACAGCTGCTGCACATAAAAATCAAGTTCCTGCAGGTGTAACAGATCCTCCAGCAAAGTGTAACAAATCTATTTTGAACCAAAATTAATGTGATACCAGCCTAAAGTCTCTGAATATAGAAGAAACATCAGAAAGGCCACCAATTAACCACTTATGGAAGTCATCAAAGAACAACATAGAGTAACTATGAAGTTCAGAGTCAAGAGCTAAAGCCCAAAGCTACATGTGGTCTTTGTTTCAATGTTTTTAATGATTTGTTTTAAGCCAGGACCACAATGGAAATGATGGATTTCAAAGCTTCTTCATCTATGAAACCAGGTGTAAGCTAGGAAATCCAATCTCAAGAAAAAAATCAAGAAAATATGATGTTTAACAGAAAAACTCTATGAATTGTCAGGTGAATCCCCTGAATTGGAGTAGATTGTGAAAGAAAACTTTTTTTTTGAAAGAAAACCTTTCTGACCTAAAACTAAAAATATGCGAAGAGTTCAAACATTACTGATTGCTTATAATACTCCAAGTATAGTTCTAAGTATCTAACACGTGTTAACTCATTTAATCCTCATAACAACTTAAGAATTAAGTATTATTACTGCCCATTTCAATGCATTAAGAGGCTAAAGCATAGACTTAACTAACTTTCCCAAAGTCCTAAGCTAGTAGTTGAAAAAGTTGGGGTGCAAAGCTAGGCAGGCTGGCTTCAGAATGCACTAACTGTGTGCTACATGGAACTGACTACCATCTATACAAAAAATACCCTGGGCCTAAAGTGGCCAAGAGAACTGAACGAAACTAAGTTGAACTTTGACTACACAGGATACAAATAAAGGCTGAATGAGAAAGGAAGACAAAAAAGGACCAACTTAAAGAGGATTTGCTTCCAAAAAAGTACTTAAATACTCTGTGACTCTAATGGACCCTGTATGGGAGGGTGAAAGAGCCTCAAGAGAAAGGCCATGAATTCTAAAGATAAAATCTTATGAAGCAAGATTCCCCAAATTTTCTTGTGTGGCGCCCACTGCTAACCACGTGCAGGTGAAATGACTTTTTGTGTGATTGCTCAGGATGTCAACTGTGATTGGATGGCCTCCAGGTAAGTCAAAATCAAACTGAACACTAGAACTGGGCTCGAGGGAACTGATAGCACTTTAGAAATTGTTAGTCATTTGCTCAGTTTTCCATGTTCTTATATGGAATCCAGCATGGACTCTGGAATCAGGGAGCTATGCATTCCAATCCTAGTTCTAATACTTATTACAGATTTTAGGACAAAATAGTCTCCTTGGCCTCAGTTTTCTTGACTATTAAATGGAGATAAGATCTCTCAGGACTGTACAAGGATTAAATGCAAGAAAATATAAAAAACATAGTGAAGAGTAACACACACTATTCAACAAACATTAGCTCTATCCCTTTGCCTAAGCATTTCCAAGAGTCCTAAAAGACTTTAACTCTATAAAAAGAATGACAGAAAACAAAATCCTTACAAGTTTTAAAGGTAATATAAAAATCTCTGAATGAAGATATCTTATAACATTAAGTGAATAATAAAAAGTTCATTAGGTCAGTTGGCTAAAATTTAGTGGTAATGAAATCAAAGTTCAAAGTTCAAAGTTCCTAGTCTGACCTTTTTGTTCTCACAAGGGATGTGATTGTTCCATTTTGCAGAACTATCCTTTGTTCAAAAAAGAGCCCAATAATTAAACAGGCATTACAAACAAGGCCCACAGGTTGTACAACTCAGGAGCAGAGAACTAAGACTATGATTTCTGTGTCTTAAAAACAAAACAAAACAAAACCTCTGTCTTGAATACCACATTCTGTAAATAAAAATTCTTTTTCTCTCAAGTATCAGTATTTGTGATGCAAAAATAAGAGTCCAAAAACTTGGTGAGAATAAAATGTTTCCACAAATTATATAAAATCTTCAAATACTATAAGAGGTTGTAAATAGTTTCAAATGAGGCCGTGAGAAGTTTGCTTCACGTTTAATACTTTTTTTATTTCAATAACAAGTTAGAATATCTCTGTAAATACAAAATTAAGCCTATAATACTATATTCACATACTCAAAGAATGAACAAACTTCGAAAATAACATTTTTCTTTGGCAAAATCAGTAAACAAATTGGCGACCCTGTCAGATTATCATTCCAACCTAACATTTTACTTAGCAGATAAATATCCATAGAAAAGCTGTAAATTATATAAATATTTTTGTCAAAATGCTAAGTGAAAGAAGCCAGACACAACAGGTTACATATTCTATGATTCTGTTTATATGAAATTCTAAAAAACTAATGATAGAAAACAAATCATTGTTCACCAAAGGCCAGGGGTGGAAGGAAGGGGACTGACTATAATTGGACACATGAGTTTTGGAGGTGAAGAAAATGTTCTACATCATGACTACGGTGGTAAGCAGATAACTGTATATCTGTTTTCTAAACTCACTGAACCCTAGAGTAAAAATTAGAGAATTTTATGTGAAATTATACCTCAATTTTTTAAAAAAGTTACAAACAAGGGTCATTTCAGTAAAAATATTTTACTTATTAAAGAAATATTTGTGGAAAACTAAATAATATAAATCTTTTAAATCATAAGCAGTGTTTGTCTTCTGACATTTTTATAAGAAATATATTTTTTAAATCTTCTAGAAAACCAAACAAAACCAAGAAGTACTTGAATAGTGACTCTCAATGCAATGTCAAACCCTCCAAAACTGTTTCATAAGCTCAGTACAATGATGAGGTACTTGGCAGGTCTCTCCATATTTTTTCCAGAATGGAACAGTATGCCAGAGGTCATAAGTTTGGGTTACACAGGGCCAACTAGACAATATAAGTGAGTAGCACAGAGCAAGTGTTACTGTGGTAAACTGCAAAGCCCATGTCCCTTCCCAATTTTGCTGCTACCACTGGGTCCTACTTACTGATGCCAGAAAGAATAGAGACTACACTGCAGCCAGAGCTTCTGATGTTTAAAGAAAAGCAGAAATCTACACTTTATGTGAAATGTCCTGCTTTTTCAAATGATGGTTCAATTTTTTTTTTATACCACCATATGTGCCAAACAAAACACATCCATAAGCAGAATTATGATATCTGGTCCATAGTGTATGCTTTCCAAACTTTTTCAATAAGAAAGTCTTGTAATTTTTCTAACTGCTTACCTCTTTATTTGCAGTGAATCTGGAATAATGGGGAATACTAGTGCAACTGAAGTAAATTCATCTCAAAACTACATAAAGACTTGTCACTTCTGGTCCTTTGCAGAAAAATCAAGTCCTGTTTACATTTCTAAGCATACTAGTTGGTAAGAAAAGGAAAATTCAGTTCGAATGAAGAAAAAAGAGGTGAGGAAAAACTGAAGAAAATCACAACTTTATGATCAAAGTCAGCTTTTAGATTCCAGAGCAACAAAATAATCCAAGTGTTGAAATTTGAGAACTTCATTGCCCCAACTAGTCCAACCTGGCTGTAAATTTCGAGCAAACAATTCCAAACACTCCCCATCTGGCTTGACATAGTCTTTTAGAACCTCTGTTCAAAAAAGAGAAAAAACACAAAAATTATTATTAAGAAAGGAATCAATTTCCTTTTAGCAGTTAAAAGCAGAAAAGCAGGATTGTTTCCTTTAAAACAAACAAACGGGATCCCTGGGTGGCGCAGCGGTTTGGCGCCTGCCTTTGGCCCAGGGCGCGATCCTGGAGACCCAGGATCGAATCCAACGTCGGGCTCCCGGTGCATGGAGCCTGCTTCTCCCTCTGCCTATGTCTCTGCCTCTCTCTCTCTCTCTGTGTGATTATCATAAATAAATAAAAATTTTAAAAGAATAAATAAATAAAACAAACAAAAAAAAAGACAGCTAATTAGTTCCAAGGATTTCATCACAGGCTATTCTATTTATAGTTAGAAATCATTTGAAATAAGCAATCCTGAGATTGGAAACAATACCATCAGAACTTTCAGGAGTCCTGATTTATCAGTTTTCAGTTGTAGATGAGAAATAGGATTTTAACACCCTCACAGATGACTTTCCAGTTTTCCAATACTGCTGACACATCTCCTGAGCACTGAAACTGAATTTTTTAATGAATCTTAATCTGTGCATGAAAAATATACAGGAACAACAGAAAAATAATCCACATAAAAAACAGATGTCTCTGCAAGCATATTCATTAGCAAAAGAAAGTAAATGAAGAACTGGATACCGATAAAAATATAGAACACATATAACTAACAAATACAACATCTTTGTAGCTGTAACTTGGTAGCACATCCCATCATTTCCAAATTGTAGATCATTTTTACCTAAAATTTTACCATATTATTTCCACAAGTAACTATTCCTTAAGTAATAATAACTACCAAAAACTATATTTTATTGGTAAAAAGGTACCACATACAAATGTTGACTAAATGCTATGATTGATACACGGTAACAGAAAGAAAATAGCATGGAATCATTTTTTTAAAGCACATGTTCATTTGGATTACAAATATATAAATCAATTTCAGCTTAATCACTGCTGGTTAGCTATATTAACCACATTACAGAACAGGTATGAAAATAAAAATTCACAGTGAAAAGTCCTAGAAGAGCATTTTTTAAATACAGTTCTTAATTACAAGATGGAGCTTGGCAGAAATTTATCAAATTCCCTCTAGGAATGATAGGTATTCTTTAGGAGCACATGATATAGGTAAAGTTTAAAAGAAAATACATAAAAAACTTTATGTTCATGTTTTCTAATCACTTTCACAATAAAATATTTATTTCTGTAAATGTATTGGTCCTGTTTAACAAAAATCAAAGAATTTAAAGCATTCATTGTCTATAACCCAATTGAAGCCAGATTTGGGCTTTAATAGCTTTTAGGAGACGCTAACATAAGATTTCTAGTCCTTTTATAAGTGTATAATTAAATGTTACTAAACCTGAAAGAGAAAGATTTCCCCAGAGTCTTAGAGGATAATAAACCTATATTACTTTTCCATTTTTTCTCCATGAATTCAATGTCTTACCAACCTCAATTCACTTTGAATGTGGTCTAAGGTTATACTGAAGCAAGGTTTTGTTTGTTTTGCTGGTTTGTTCAGAGTTTTGGTACAAATAAATTAGCAACTCTATTCTGGAACCTTAATCTGGAATCTAAAAAGGAGTTAGCCAGTCAAAAATGTTTACTATTCTGAGCACACAATATAATCAGTGCTATGGAATTTAACAAAGGAAACAGATACCCATGTTTTCTAAGAGTACACAATCTAGTAGAAAAAGATGGCCAGGCACTTGGGAGTTGACAAACATAGTACATAAAACCTAAAGCCATCTACTATCTCCTACTTTCTCAATGTAACATATTTCTGCATTTTTTTTTCTTTCTGGTTGAGAAAAACAGAAAATCAAGGAGTAATATTTTTAAAATGTTAACCAGAGTTCACAACAAAGCAAAAGAAATAAAAGCAAATTCATGGAAATGATTTATTCTTACTAATTTTAAATATCAACTTAAAAGTAAACTCAAGATCTTAAAAGTTCTAATTACAAGGAAAAAAATTGATAACTATGTATGGCAATGGAGGTTAACTACACTTACTGTGATTGGTGATCATTTCTCAATATATATATACATCAAATCATTATATTATACCCCTGAAACTAATAAAATCATGTATGTCAATTATACCTCATTTTAAAAGTAAATTCAAATGTATAAATTAAAGTATGAATATGACACATATACTTGATTAATTATATAACATCTGACATTAGCAAAATATACTTCTAATGAAAGAAGAGGAAATAACACATGCATAGCCAGTCATTCCCCTTTTGCTCTGGGAACAAAGGGTAGGGCTACGGGAGAAGGGGCTCAAACACCAGTTTTCAGAATTTCCAACTGTGTTTTATTCTTCAGATAAAACTGTTAATGAGTATAGCAGTAAAAGGAATGGAAATTCCTGTAAAGTAAAATATAAAAAAACAATTTTGATCCAAATACTTTTATTTCATAATTTGCCTATCTTATTAAATCTTTACATTTAATATACATTTAAGATTATAAGCCATAGCTATTGAGGCTTATCTTTTAATCTGTACCAGGAAACATCAAAACTTAAAAACAGAGTAAATGTATCAATAAGTTAAAATTTTTTAAAAATCTTGGTGCTTCTAGAGGCAAAAGAGAATATTTCATTTTATGAATTTGCATAAAATGTTTAAGAGCATTTACATGTACAAGTTCTAAGCATTATATATAGTACACATACTATCCCAAATCCTAGAGTTATGATTTCAGAGTAAAATACAGTGCAGAAATTATTTTTTGGTGGCTTTAATTTGTATGGTTCTATATCTAAAAATACATGCACTTGCTACATAGTAACATAAATTCAAAAATACTACCTAACCAAAACATAAGGGTTACATAACAAGTTGTGTGGATTTTTCCCCCCAAGAATCTAACTTTTCTTTTTAAAATGTTCTCAATCCAAAAAAAGTGTTTTTGCTGTCCTCTACAGGGAATATGGTGGAACTGCACTTCATGGATATAGGCTGTTAAGACTAGTTTTTAAGAGGATTAATAAAAGACTAATTTTTATTTACTATTATAAAACCTTGTTTCCTAAGATTAACATTTAAATATAATTTTATTCTATGTGAAAGGAATCGATAAACAGTTTATAATTTGGGAATGAAAGGCTGGGTCTTAGCTTTTAGATTTTAAAAGTAAAAAAATAAGCCCTAAGACGAACACTAAATTATGCTTTGATACTCACTGAATGATAATGAAAATTCAAATGAGAAGAATACAAATTAAATTTCCTCCACTGAATTTAACTGGTACCAAATAGAATTTTTTTTCAAAGAAAAGTACAATCTCACTTTTCATTTAAGTCACATATTTAATGTAATGAAGAATCTATGACAATACAAACTTAAAGATGATTATTCATTCAGCATGTCTCCAAGTTAAAGAAGGGATCATCAGGTAAACATCTGAATATTTCTCAAATAAAGTTAACACTACAAAAATTCTTCTGCATAAAATTTAGGATAACAGAAATCCTAAGCACAATCAATAAAAATTACCTTGGGAATTTGTATTTACTTTCCTATGTTATGAACTATCCCATATGCTACAAAATAATGATAGGCTAGGGACCCTGTAGTTTTCCTCAATGGCAGCTTAAAAGTTTGTGGTGTTTTAAGTAGGGATCACCAAATTCATAAAATAGATATTCCTTAAAAATTGTTTTGAATAGGAAACTATGAATATCAAATTGAGTATGTTTCAAGGACTACATTTCTATATTTTTTTAGAGGAGTAGGGCGTAGAGAATGAGGGAGAAAGAATCTCAAACAGACTCTGAGCTGAGTGTGGGTGGAATCCTTCGCGGGGCTCTATCCCAGGACCCTGACAATCTTGACCTGAGCTGAAATCAAGAGATGCTTAACCGACTGAGCCACCCAGGCATCCCCACATTCCAATTTTTTTGAATTCTCACTTGAAAAATTTAGCATTTACTGAGCTTCTATTTTATCCTGTAGAATTTAAAATATAAGCAATCTTCACAACTCTAAAAGATTAAAAGATTAAATACCGGGATCCCTGGGTGGCGCAGCGGTTTGGCGCCTGCCTTTGGCCCAGGGCGCGATACTGGGGACCCGGGATCGAATCCCATGTCGGGCTCCCTGCATGGAGCCTGCTTCTCCCTCTGCCTGTGTCTCTGCCCCTCTCTCTCCCTCTCTCTCTCTGTGACTATAATAAATAAATAAAAATTTAAAAAAAAGATTAAATACCATTAGTCTCTCTCTCTCTCTTTTTTAAAGATTTTATTTATTCATGAGAGACACAGAGAGAGAGGGGCAGAGACACAGAAAGAGGGAGAAGCAGGCTCCATGCAGGAAGCCTGATGTGGGACTTGATCCTGGGACCTTGGGATCACACCCTGAGCCAAAAGGCAGATGCTCAACTGCTGACCCACCCAGGCATTCCCAATTAGTCTCTCTTTAAATAAGGGCTTTAAGGTAGAAAATGGCTACAGTAACTCATTAAGTACCAGAGCCAGGATTCAAAGTCAGAGTCAATCTCCAAAGCCAAAATTTTCCATTATTCCTTGCTGCTTAGTTTCACTAAATGATGAACATTATAATTATACTAAAGCATTAAGACTAGCAAGAATTGGAAGGCTTCAGTAATCACCTTTTCAGTGATTCAGAAAAACACTACCTCAACATAAAACTGAATCTCTACCAAGTAGCAAGGAGATTCTAACCACCCTTCTTGGACTGCTATTCTGAGCTCCTGGTTTCAGAATAAGCAAGTGATAGAGCCCTCATAGTAAAATAAAACCCGTAGAACTAAATCCCTCAGATGCTCCATCAGTCTTCAGTCTATCAAGGATAGTGAAGGAGTAACTACCAATAATAAGGGGAGGAAAAGCAGGTGAAATAAAACATCTACACAGTGCATCCAGCAAGCCCACAAATCCCTTGCTTCAACAGTTCAATAGCCTTGTTCAACAGTTTCTGGATTGGAACAAATCCAGGAACTCCCCTTCTTCTAGTCTCTGACCACCCTCCAACCACCTTCCAATCTCCTTTCCAAGAACAATCTCCAGGACCAGCCAACCCCATTTTTTGTGGTTAGCTCCTTATTGCTGACCAAAAATGAGCTCCCAGATTCATCATGTAGAATTATTCTACAAGGGTGAAGGCCACTGTCAACTGTCTGGTCAACCTGTATTTGCAGGCCTCCTACACCCAATCTCCCTCAAGGCTTCTATTTGGACTATTGATGATGTGACTCTGGAATGCCTGGGAACTTCTTCCTCAAGTTGGCCAGGCATCTCTTGGAACACACAAACCAGTGTAGCAGCCATGCCCTTTTCTAAAACATGAAGAAGTCCTCCCAGATGAGTGAGGCAAAGCTGTGGATGCTGTGGAAGCTCCATGGCTCTGAAGAAGAACCTGAACCAGGCCCTTCTGGATATGCATGCTCTAGGTTCTGCCCACACAAATCCCCATCTGTGTGACTTCCAGGAGAGCCACTTCCAGATGGAAAAGTAAAACTCATCAAGAAGTTGGGTGACCACCTGACTAACTTCCACAGGTTGGCTGGTGGCTGGCCTCTGGCTGGGCTGGGAGAGTCAAGAATTTCTCCAAAAGGCTCACCCTCAAGCACAATTATAGGAGCCTCCAAAGACCAGCCTTTGAAGGGCACCTCTACATCCGCCTGATGTCAGAGCTTCTGCCTCTCTCCCTGCAGCTAATCAACAGCTCTTTAACCATCATAGAGCCCTCTCTCAAGTCATGGACCAAATGAAAATAAAGCTTTTGTAGCAAAATAAAAAACATTATTCATAAATTCTGCTGTAAAATTTTAGAATATTAGCGAAAATAAAACATCCAATTTAATTTACAAATCTCTACATGACTCCAATACTAAACTCAATCCTTTTTTTAATTTGATAGAAGTCATAATAATTCTATTTCATAAAAAAACATACCAGCAAGCGGTGGCTTATGTGAGTGAAGAGTACAGGGTACACTGACAATTAACTTGTGATCTGGAATGGGAAGCACTTTTATACCTGCATTCCTAATTAAAACAAAACAACAAAGTAAATTATATTAAAAGGACAATTTTTCATTCTATAAGCCACAGTTACCTCAATTTTTTTCACCTTTCAAATAGAACCTAAATTTTAAAATAAATTTTAGAAACAATAATGGAAATCATCAATTTAAGTAGAGACATTGCAGATAATTTCCTTTTCTTCAATAATAACAGTTACCAACTGAATAAAACAAAAGATAATATAAAATTTCATGTGCCATACCATTCACATTTTTCTGGTCTGGGTCACTTTTAGATTTTCAAAAATGTAAAAATTAAGGAAAATCAGTGATCATACTATTAACTTTATAAAATGTATATATTTGTACAATTTTGAAAAATCGCCTTTCCTACCTTAATGGTACAGTTTTTTCTCGAACTCTCCCCAATACAAGACCTTCATAAGGCTTTTTGTGTGGAGAATCTAGTGGGAACACAAACTCTCCTGAATTGGTGATCTGATAGGAAGGAGACAAAACAAAACAAAACAAAATAAAGCCATACATCTGTAAATATCCAGGAAAGAGTTTGTTGGTTTTTTTCCTATCGCTATACATTTCCTTCCAAAGAAAAAGAAATTATTAAACCTCTAGGCTAGTGCTATCCAATAAAAATATAATGTAAGCCACAAATGCAAACTGCATATGTAATTTAAATTTTATCCTAATTTAAATGTAAAGTAAAAAATTTAAATTTTCTACTAACAACATTAAACACTAAGAAAAGTATAACAAGAATGTGGTAGAAATAATTTTAATTATATATTTAGCTTAGTCTCACATATCCAAAATACTATTTCAATATGTAATCAATTCAATAAGTTATTGAGGTATGTTATATTTTCTCTTTCATACCAAGTGTTTGAAACCCAATGTACGTTTTATACTTAACATCAATTCAATTTTGACTAGCCACATTTCAAGTGCTGAAGAGACACATATGGCTAGTGACCATTGCTTGGACAGAACAGCTATAATGGACTAAAATATTTTATTTATTTTTTTTTATTTTTTTTTTGGACTAAAATATTTTAAATATCACTTTATCATCTTCCACATAAAAATCTACTTTTCATTAAAATTTACTCCTGGAAACTATGTCATCATTAATTCATTAATTCATTCAAATAATATTTACCAATTACTAGCAATGTGACTAAGTATATTATAATAAAATATATCTTATTACACTTTATAGAAAATAATGTCATTATACACTGTCAAAGCTAGAATTAGTAAAAAAAAAAAAAAAAAAGTTCAGGGACTGATAAGATGAACAATACTTAGTCTAATCCCTTGGCATTATAAATCCAGAAATTCAATTTTGTCATTCTACCCTGGAGTGATCATACTCTCAAAGACTCACTTAAAGCTAATCAAACTGAAACACAATATAATATCAATTTATTAACTAACCACTGAAATACATATTTACCATCAGAATATTCATATCTATTATCTAAGGAATCTTTTACTTAGTATCAAGATAACTAAGAAGTCAAATCAGTAAAGTTCTTTTATCATCTCTAGTGCCCAGGAAAAATAGTATCTTTTCCACACAGTGCTGTATAAATACAGGCAAATTTTTATTCTCTGTATATACTTCATATTCAATGCAAATTACTCCTTCTGTTATAATAGTACATATAGTTACCTAACAATGTTTCAAATAACATACTGTCTTTTTTGTTTTAAACTCTGGGCTTATATTATCTCTTAGATAATACTACTACAAATGAATAGAATAGTCTTAGATTTTACGTATTAACATTTTACTGGATTTAATTTCAGAAGGTACCCTTTTCCTGACTTTGGCCCTCATCTTTGACGACAAAAGAACTGTCATCATATACAGGAAAAAATGGGGATTTATATTCCTGTCAATGTCCTACATACCAAATAAACCAAAGCTAAGCCCAAAATACATTATGAAAGCAAAGATACAACTGTTAATGTTTGCTAAGTTCATTAAAATAGGTGCAAATAAACAACATACACAGATTTTAGAGGATATACCAAGAGACTACAAAATCCATACAAAGCACATAAAAAGAGAACTCTCCTGTCTAAAATGAATATTTCAGCTATATAAATATTAAACATTCAACTGATAACAAGTTGACTTATCTTTTAAATATGTAGGAAAGCTTTTGCAAAATTCATCTACGTAGAAGATGTATTTTTAAAAGGATGTCCAGGGATGCAGGGTGGCTCAGCAACTGAGTGTCTGCCTTCAACTCAGGGTGTGGTCCTGGAGTCCTGGGACTAAGTCCCATATCAGGCTCCCCTCGAGGGGCCTGCTTCTACCTCTGCCTATGTCTCTGCCTCTCTCTCTGTATCTCTCACGAATAAATAAAATCTTTTAAATAAATAAATAAATAAATGGATGTCTAATGGACTCTGAACTGATGCCTTATTTTTCTGTATTTTTTATTCTTCTAGTAAACAGAGAGAGATTAAAGATCATTCAACTAATCCAAGAATTGGAATTATTTCTTTAAAAAATAGGCACAGCAGCACACAAGGTGCTGAGGTTAAGTTAAAATTTAAAACATGTAAGGTTCTTGGTTCTTTCCACCTCTTCCATCCTGGGTTACTTAGCTATTCTCCCTCCCATCCCCAGCAACATAAGAAAAAAGAAAAAGGAAAAGGAAAAACAGGAAAGAAGTCATAAAGGGTGACTGAAATTGTGGATGTATAAAGAGTAAGAAGAGGTGCACCTGGGTAGTCAGTCAATCAAGCGTCTGCCTTTGGCTCAGGTCATGATCTCAGGGTCCTGGGATTGAGCCCAGCACCTGGCTCCCTGCTCAGCGGGGAGTCCGTCTCTCTTTCTCCTTCTGCCCTTTCCCCTGCTCGTGTTCTATCTCTTTCAAATAAATAAGTAAAATCTTTTAAAAAATAAAAGTAAAGAGCTAAAAGGTAAAGGGTAACATTATTTCTATGTTTAGTGATAGATTCTCCAAAGTTTTTGTTTGTCATTTTTTTAAACTATAGACATCAAAGCTTTTTAAAATGACATCCTGATAAATCCCTGAATGACTTCCCTAGGCCAGCAGTTTGGTCCTCACCTACAAAAAGACACAGAACAAAAGTAAAAAGCCTTCCAGAATAAGAAGATGTAAGTATTTAGTGTCAAAAGGAAAAAAAGTATTCGATATCAAAGTAAAAGTTTCAATTACACGGTTTTGAAGGAGAACAGTGACATGTTAAGTGTTAAAAATTAGATGTTTATGTGACTTATATGTCACACTACATTAACAAGTAAAGCTTTTAACTTACTTTTACCCAATGCCACTCAGCAACTATATCAACAGACCAAGAAGGATAAAGTTCTTCCTTTACAAAACGTAGGTGCTTTTGTCTATTGGTCACCCAAGTAATAACAAGACAGTTTGGAGCAGCCAGTTTAGGAATAGGTATCTGCTTTATTTGCAGTGGTGATAAATAACTGTACCTAAAAATAAACAGAAAAAGATAGTAGCAAAATTCACTGCAAGAAAAGGAAAAATAAGCAGAGAGAAGACCCATATAATACTGACTCCACAAAAACAAAGCTCCTATAGCTGTATATTTGTATAACTAAATATGAAGCCACAGTGACACCCAGAGGACACATTATTACATGCAAGTCAGAAATAACCCTTTTTTCATTTTTAATACTGTAAAATTGTCAGGCTTTATCATTTCTAAATATATTACATTTCAAAAATTTCTCTAACAGGCTTTTCTCCCATTCAAAATTAAGCAAATACCATTGTTTGGTTTCTATGGTCTATACATTACACAGGGACCCCATCACAGTGAGTCTTGAAACTGCTATCTCAATATTCACTATGTTTTCAACCCTCAATCTATCATCCTGCGTATTCCCAATCAATTCCACCAGACTTTCTGAAACCCTCACACTTTCATTTCAAAAAATTCTATACTCTTGCACCTCACAGTCATTAATAGTATAAAGTTTAACTTCTCTTGCTAGAACCACTTCTTCTATAAAATCCAGTCTAATGTGGCCCTTTCTCTAACACTTCCAGTATATCTCATAATGCTAGTTATTCCTCTCCTTCTGTGTTTCAACCTCTCTAGCAGTTCCTTACTGTCAACCTAGGTCTTAAAGGAAGAAAGAGGAGAGAAGCAGAGAAGGTGGGGAGGGGAAGAGAGAAGAGAAAAGAAATTCCCTCGATTCAGTCTTTTTAGGTCTACAACTAAACTAAGGACTAGTATGCTTTTAGTCTTTCTACTTTCTCTCCTTTATCTTATTCCTCAGTAGATTATAATGAGATTTCTACTACTATACCTACTCTGGAAAAAAGTAAGTAACACCTTACCAGCCAAATACAATAAACACTGGAATCCACTTTTCACACATAGTAACTGTATAATGTGAGAAAGTGATTAAGTATTTTTTAAATAAGCAAATGAGTAAAACAATCCACATCTCATTCACTCAAGTTTCCTACCATCCAGACCAGTGCTCTTCCAGGAGAATAGCATTTCTTAAAATCAAATTGATAATTTTAAAAAACTATGTTTGTCACAGTATGAAAAAACATCAGGTCAAAAACTTCAAATTTGATGTTCCCAACAACTGTAGATTTTTTGATTGCCTTCATTTTATTTAATTGGGTTCATGTGGGGTGGGGGAGAGGAATGAAATATTCCATTTTTCGTTTTAATCTCCTAGAAATCACTGAGCAAATTCTAAAATATACATCTTCATCACCAAGGCAGTATTCTTACCGAAAATGTTTAACCTGAATCTAATCATGCAGAAATAATCAGACAACTCCAAATGCTGGGAAATCCACAAAAGGGGCACAAAATCTTAAAAAAGAGTCAATACCCTGAAAAGTAAAAAATGGTCAGGAGACTATTTTGAATTAAAGGAAGAAAAGAAAAATAAAGACCAAATGTAATGTATGATCTCTGACTGGAGTTTAAATCTGAAAAACAAAAAGAAAAATGTAACCACAAGGAAACACTGAGAAGAGGTTAAAAAATGAATATATAATGTATATTTTATAATACTATTAATGATAATATTAACATTATTGGGAGTGATAATGGTATCATAGTTATGTAGAAGAGTGTCTTTGTTTTTAGAAGATATGTGCAAAAAAATTTATAGGTGAAAGCACGATGTCTACAATATCAGATTAAAAGAGGAGAGAGGGAGAAAAAGAAACTGTACACAGATGTAGCAGAATATCAAAACCTGGCGAATCTAGAGGAAAGGTGATTCAATATGCATATACTACTTTTTTAAGATTATTTGTTTGAGAGAGTGCGTGAGCAAGAGAAAGCATGAGCCAGGGGAGGCACAAAGGGAGAAACAGACTTCCCACCAGGCAGGGAGCCCCAGGCCTGGCTCCATCCCAGGACCCTGAGATCATGACCTGAGCTCAAGAGAGACAATCAGCTGAGCTACCCATGTGCCCCATTCAGGTAATTATTTCAACTTTTCTCAAAGTTTGGAATTTTTAAAATCAAAATTTGAGGGAAAGAAACAATATAATAAATCATTACAAAAAGATCATAAAGGGGTACCTGGGTGGCTAAGTGGTTAGGCACCTGCCTTCAGCCCAGGGCGTGGGTATCAAGTGGGATCGAGTCTCATATCGGGCTTCCTGCAGGGAGCCTGCTTCTCCCTCTGCCTGTGTCTCTGCCTCTCTGTGTCTCTCATGAATAAATAAATAAAATATTTTTTAAAAAATTACAAAGATATACATAACAAGCTAAAAAAAAACAATTTCAAAAAAATTTTTTGAAAGCTAAAAACAAAAAATTTCAAAATATGCTACATAAAATTATCATAAAATATTATAAAAGGAATGAGTCTGTTTTTCAAAATTACAAAAGCCGCCCCCAAAGATATTGCTTATTATGATTAAGCATTTGTTTACTTTTTTAAAGCTTCTAAAGAGTATTCAAGAATAATATATTAAAAACTATCAATTTTCATTAAAATAAAAAGCAAATGAAATATAAACTAGTATTTTAAAAAATAACTCTTAGAGAAAACTGGAACACATTACCAAAGAATATTACAAAATTGGACTTCATTCTCTTGAATTTAACACTTAGCTCTAGCAAATACAAGTAACTGTGAACACACTTTTCAACAAATGATGCCGGGACAACTGGATATCCAAATGCAAAAGGATAAAACTGTGATTCTACCTCACATCATATATAAAATTAAATTCAAAATGAATCAAAAATATAAACGTGAGAGCTGAAACTCTTAGAAAACATACGTGTACATCACGGTGACCTTGATTAAGGCAATAGTTTCTTTTTTTTAAATTTTTTTTATTTATTTATGGTAGTCACACAGAGAGAGAAAGAGAGGCAGAGACACAGGCAGAGGGAGAAGCAGGCTCCATGCACCGGGAGCCCGACATGGGATTCGATCCCAGGTCTCCAGGATGGCGCCCTGGGCCAAAGGCAGGCGCTAAACCGCTGCGCCACCCAGGGATCCCAAGGCAATAGTTTCTTAAATACGATACCAAATGCAGAGAAACAAAAAGAAAAATAGGTTAAGCTGACTTCAAGAAAATATAAAATGTTGTGCTTTGAGAACACTAGCAAGAAAGTGAAAAAGCAACAAGAGAAAGAAAATACTTGCCAACCACCTAAGGTAAGGGGCCTAGTATCCAGAGTATATAAAAAACTCTTAGAAATCAACAAAAAGATAAATAATTTTAAAATTTGTGAAGGATCTGATCAATTCACCAAAGAATATACACAGATGATCAAAAAGGACATGAAAAGATGTTTAATATCATTAGTCATTAGAGAAATGCAAATCAAAAAAACACAAGATATCACTTCATATTCATCAGGATGGCTATAATTTAAAACAAATGAACACAAAACAGAAAATAAGTATCACTGAAAATGTGGAGAAACTGGAACCCTCATACATTTCCAGTGGGAATGTAAAATGTAAAATGACACATCCACTGTGAAAAACACTTTAGTAGTTCCTCAAGAGTTAAAGGCAGAGTTACCACGTGGTGCAGCAACTCTACTCTTGGGCATACACCCAAAATAAATGAAAACATATTATTGTCTGGAATTAGGCAATTACAAAGTCTGAAGGAAGAGGCTTTAACACTGCCTGCCCTCTCTTCTACAACCAACCAAAAATTTGGGCAGTTTCCAAAACCACTCTGAGGTTCAATAATTTGTCAGAAAGACTCACAGAACTGTACTGAAAGGTATTATAATCATGGTTACAGTTTATTATAAGAGACGACTTATTACAATTTATCACATAAAGGTTATTACAGTTTATTACAGATTAGACTAATGTCAACCAAAGGAAGAAACTCAGAGCAGAGTCTGGGGGCTTATAAATACAGAGCCTCCAATGGTCCTTTCCCATGGAATCAGAACACATTACCATCCTGGATAAATGTGCGATAAAACAGAGTATTGCTACCCAGGGAAGCTCACCCCAGCTTCAGTGAACAGAGTTTTAATTGGACATCCATTACATAAGAAAAATGGAGTGACTAACTGCCCAGGTGTTTGATGACATGGTTGGCATTTCTGGTGTGGCAGTCCCCACCCTAAGATTATTTATATAGCCAGTCTCTCAAACCCCCCCCACCCCCACTAACCCAAGCACACTAAAAAATAATCCTATCAGGTATAAATTCCCTCCCAGAAGCTGAAGGCAAAGGTCAAACTCTGGACAAGGCCAAATTCTTTAACACACCTTTTCACAGAAAAGCTTGTACAGAGGCGCCTGGATGGCACAGTTGGTTAAGTGTAGGACTCTTGGTTTCAGTTCAGGTCTGATCTCAGGGTTGTGGGTTCAAGCCCATGTCAGGCTCTGTACTCAGTGTGCTGTCTGCGAGAGATGCTCTCTCCCTTTCCTTTTGCCTTTCCTGCTCATGCATGCATGCTCTCTCTCTCTCTAAAATAAATAGTCTTAAAAAAAGAAAAAAAAAGAAAAGCTTGTACACAAATGTTTATAGCAGCATTTTAGCCAAAAGCTGGAAACCATGCAAACACACCAACTGATAAGCGGAAAAATAAAATGTGGCATATATCCATTCAACAGAATATTATACAGTCATTACAAGGAATAAAGTACTGATATATGCTAAAACATGGAGGAATGAACCATGAAAACAAATATCAAATGAAGTAAGCCAGACACAAAGGCCACATGTTATAAGATTCCAGTTATATGTAATGTCCCAAAAGGTAGGTTCTTAGAAACAAAAAGGAGATTAATGGTTGCCTGAGTATGGGCAAAGAAGAGAAAGAACTAGGAAGAACAGGGATTCTTTTGGGGGTGACAGAAATGTTACAGAATTAGATAAGGTAATAACTGCACAACATTAAAGTGGCTAAAATGGTTAATTTTATCTAGTTTTCAAAAACCTAGGAAGCGTGGGTGGCACAGTCGGTTAAGCACTGGACTTTTGGTATCTGCTCAGGTCATGATCTCAGGGTTGTAAGATCAAGGCCCAAATGAGGCTCCATGCTCAGAGTGGAGTCTGCTTGGGATTCTTTCTCCCTCCCCCTCTTCCCCTCCATCTGTGCTCACTTGCTCACATAAATAAATGAATCTTTAAAAAAAAAAACAAAACTATATTAGCACCCTTCTCTCAAAGAACATATAATCTAATAATAAAAGAGAAAAAGGATCACTCACAATTTTAACTAAAATACAGAACAGATTGAAAGCATTAAAATTTGCTAAGAGGGTCCAAGATAGTGGCACAGAAAGACTCTGAACTCACCTCCTCCCACATAATAAATCTATTCCTATATAGGGCAATTCTTCCAAAAGAAGACAGGACTGACTGCACAGCTTGTATATAACAAATGATAAAGGGGCCAATAGGGAAAAGTAGGAAAGATATGGATACAAGAACCCCACTGTTGACTAAGTGGCCTACAGTAGAGAAGGATATTGATGAGGAGCCAATGCAGACTCACCTGCCCTCAAACATAGCAGTTTAAAGGGCAAAGAGACTATAAATCAAGGAAAAACATTTACTAACATTAGAGCCTCCAACAAATAGGTATAGAACCAACAGAATTTTCACTGGGGTAAGAGGCACCAGCAAGTGCCATTTTTACATTCTGCATCTACCTTGTAGTCTAAACAGCAGCAGGGTTCAAGTACTTCACCAATATGATAGGCACACTCCAGACCTGTGGCCCACTCCAGCTCCAGCCCTCAAAGGTGCTATGCAGTATGCCCCAAATCCCAACCACATCAGCCTAGCTCCAGCCATCCTGCCAAGGCAGCCCCAAAACAGCACCCTCCAGGACGCAACTGACCTGTGCTCACAGCACAGCACATGCTGTGCCTATGGATATATCCTGCCTATGCCCACTTCCACTCCAGCAATTCCACAGAAAAGGCCACAGAATAACATGCCCCAGGACCTCAAAGCCATGCCCACTGCAGCTCCAGCCAGCCTGCCAAAGTTAGCAGGCAGTCCTAAGAGGGAAGTTCATAACAATACAAACCTACCTAAAGAAACAAACAAACAAAACCCAAACAAACAATCTAACCTAAACTAGAAAACTAGAAAAGATCAAAGTTAGTAGAAAGAAGGAAATAATAAAGATCAGAGTGGAAATAATTGAAATAGAAAATTTAAAAATGGGAACCCTGGGTGGCACAGTGGTTTAGCACCTGCCTTTGGCCCAGGGCGAGATCCTGGAGACCCGGGATCAAATCCCACATCGGGCTCCTGGTGCATGGAGCCTGCTTCTCCCTCTGCCTGTGTCTCTGCCTCTCTCTCTCTCTCTCTCTCTCTGTGTCACTATCATAAATAAAAATTTTAAAAAAATTTTAAAAAAAAGAAAAAGATCAATGAAACTAAAACCTTATTCTTTTAAAACTTAAAATTGAAAAAACCCAGCCAGACTCATCAAGAAAAAAAAGGGCTCAAATGAATAATAGCAAAAATGAAAGAGAAGTTACAACTGAAGCCACAGAAATTCCTAAGTGACTATGTATCACAAGACTACTAAAAAAAAATTATATGAAAACAAAACAGAAAACCTGGAAGAAATGGAATAATTCCTAGGAAACACACAAACTTCCAAGACTGAATCACAAAGAAATAGAAAATCTGACCCATTACAAGTAATGAAATTGAATCAGTAATTTAAAAACTCCCAGAAAACAAAAGTCCAGGATCAGATTGCTTCATTTATTATTCTACCAAACATTTAAAAAACAGTTAACTATCCTTCTCAACTTATTCCAAAAAATTAAAGAGAAAGAAATGCTTCCATACTCATTTTACAAGGCCAGCAGAACACTGATACCAGAATCAGACAAAGATACCACTAAAAAAAGACAGGCCACATCAACAAGAGTAAAGATAAAAATATGATCATCTAAATAGATGCAAAAAAGCACTTAATATATATAACATCCATTTATGATTTTAAAAAACCTAACGGAGTGGGTACTAAGAACATATTAGGTATAATAAAGGCCAGATATGATAAACCCACAGTTAACATAATACTCAACGGTAAAAAGCTGAAAACTTTTCCTCTAAGATCAGAAATAAGACAAGGATACCCATTCTCACCACTTATTCAAAGTATTGGAAATCCCAACCACATCAATTAGGCAAGAAAAAAACCAAAGGTATTCAAATTGAACAAGTAGTAAAAGTGTCACTACTTGCAGATGACATAATATCATACATAGAAAACCATAAGGCTCCACCAAAAAGATACTAGAATTCAGTAAAGTTACAGGATACAAAATGAACATATAGAAATCTGTCGCATTTCTATACACTAATAACAAGCTATCAGAAAGAAAAATCAAGAAAACAATCCCATTTATAATTGCATAAAAAAAAACCAAAATACCTCGAAAAAATTTAACCAAAGAGGTGAAAAATCTGTACTCTGAAAGTGTTAAGATGAAAAAAACTGAACACTAATAAATGGATATATACTCTGTTCATGGACTGGAAGAATTAATATTGTTAGAATGTCTACACAACACAAAGCAATCTACAGACTTAATGCAATCCACAAAGTACCAAAGGCATTTTTAACAGAACTAGAACAAAGAATCCTAAAATGTGTATGGAACTGCAAAATACCCTAAACAGACAAAGTGATTTTAAGAAAAACAAAGCTGGAGGTCATCATGCTCCCCGATTTCAAAATAGATTAAAAAGCTTTACTAATCAAAACAGTATGGTACTAGTACAAAAAAAACACACATACATCAATGGAACAGAAAAAAGAACCCAAAATAAACCCACACATATACAATTCAACATTTGGCAATTGTTTTAATAATAAAGACTTGGGCAAGATGCTGTATTAGTTTTCTACTGCTGCTTTCGGAAATGTCACTTTCACAAAACACCAGAAAAGACTTAGTTAACTTCCAAATTAAAGGATACTAAAGAGGGACACAGGGGTGGCAGAACAGGTTAAGCCTCCAACTCTTGGTTTCAGCCTCAGGTTATGATCTCAGGATCATGAGATAGAGCCCTACATCGGGCTCTGCACTCAGCAAGCAATCAGCTTGAGAGTCTCTCTCCCTCTCCCTCTGCCTCTGCCTTCCTGCTTGTGCTCTCTCTCTCCCTCCCTCCCTCAAATAAATAAAATAAATCTTAAAAAAAAAAAAAAAAGGTACTAAGGAGACATGACAACTGAATGGAGGGCATGATCCAGGATTTTATTTTGCTATGAAGGATATTTCTGGGATAACTAGTAAAACCGGAATAAGGTATATGGAATAGATACTAGTGCTATATCAGTAACAGTATGGTATCAACATTAATTATAGTCTTAAAAATTATGTATATAAATATCTACACACAAACATGCACATAGAGAACAGATACGTGAATATTTTATGTGATTCTTGCAACTTCAAGAAAAAAAATCCCATTGTATAGCTCATAAAAAAGCATAAGAAAGCTGGAGATAATTGTGGAAATAGAGAAATTTCGCATGAAGTCGAAGTCAGGGTAACAGAACTATTCAGGCTAGAAACTGAACATTGAGAGGAAATATAACTGAGGATATTCACTAGAATGGGAGAGAAATACTTAAAAGGTTTTAAAAAGCTATTAAAAGGAAATGTCCTCTCAGTAATTAGTTGAACTGATTACTCTAAGAGATGACATAAAAAATGACATAAAACAAATTTAAGATGGGTTAGACAAATTCATTCACAGCAGCTACTGAAGAAAACTATACAAGCATACCTCAGAAATATTCCAAATTCAGTTCCAGATGACCACAACAAAGCTAGTATCACTTTAATAAAGTGAGTCAAAATAATTCTTGGTTTTCCCAGTGCGTATAACAGTTATGTTTACACCATACTGTTAACAGTAAACTAAGTATGCAATAGCATTATGTCTAAGAAAACAACATGCATACTTCATTACCAAAAAATGCTAACCATCATCTGAGCTTTCGGGGAGTTATCATCTCTGTTCACAGATCACCAAAACAAATGTAATGAAAGAGTCTGAAATACTGCAAAATGTGACACAAAGTGAACAAATCTTGTCAGAAAAATGGTGCCAACAGATGTGGTCGATGTAGGGTTGCCACAAACTTTATATTTTAAAAGACAATATCTGCAAAGCACAATAAAGCGAAGCACAACAAAACAAAGTATGCCCATATTTTGGCAAATATTTCTAAACTTTAAAAACTGTTATCAAAGGAGACAAAAATGTTGCTCTTTGGTGTTACAGAAATATCCCTGAACTGGTTCAGTCAGTAACCTCAGTCATTAATAAGTATATTACTTTTGACATTCTTGTACCTATACATAGTTCTAGCGCAAGAGAATTATCTAATTAGGGGAATTAAAAATTGAAGAGAAAATATTTTAGTAGTTCAGACAACCTACATCTCAAAGTAATATTTTTAGCAAATGTAACCAGAATCTACAATGGACAATAGCTTTGAGAAAGCATGAGGTGGGGGTGCCTGGTTGGCTTAATCAGTTAAGCATCTGCCTTTGATTCAGGTCATGATCTCAGGACACCACATCAGGCTCCCAGCTTAGCAGGAAGTCTGCTTCTCCCTCTCTCTCTCTGCCTCTTCCCCTTGCTTGTGCTGTTTTGTCTCTCTCAAATAAATGAATAAAATCTTTTAAAAAAAAAAAAAAGAAAGAAAGAAAAAGCAAAAGAGAAAAAGAAAAAGAAAAAGAAAAAAAAAGAAAAAGAAAAAGAAAAAGAAAAAGAAAGAAAAAGCATGGGGTGCCTGGGTGGCTAAGTCAGTTAAGCATCCAACTTAGATCTCAGCTCAGGTCTTGATCTCAGGGTCCTGAGTTCAGGCCCCATGTTGGAGTCCATGCTGGACATGAAGCCTACTTTAAAAAAAAAGGGGGGGGCATATCTAATAGACAATTAATTTACACTTACCTATTACTTCTTTTAACTGATTTGTTCTGCCATGGTGGATCTATCACAATTACATCATATGTTTTACTACCTGAAAACAAGCAAACAACTTCAGAAAATATCTTCTGTAGGTGATTACTTTTAAAACTAAAGTGGATTTACAACAGACACGAATATAATGGAATGCAACAAAAGGACTTATAACATTTATTCAAACAATAATTTAATCTAAAAAAAATTAAGATTTCCTTTATAATTTAGTACCCCTAGGATTTTAACATCAGTTCACCTATTGCTATTTTTGCAAAGACCACCTGTAAATAACTACAGTTCACTTAGCTGGATACCAATCATTTGTAAATGCCCTTTATGTCTTCATAGCCATATTAATATGGTCTTTTTAAACCTAAGTGAGGTGTTATTTTTGATGAGGGAGGGGGTTCATTTCTTTAGCTTTTTTTAAAGTTCATTTTGAAATAATTTTGTTAAAACTGATACAAAGACCATAAAATAATCTCCTCAGTTGTCTACACATCTTTTTTCCTGGCCCAGGATCCAAACCAGGATCCCACACTGCATCTGGTTGCCATGTCTCCTCAACCTCTTCCAAACTGGGAAAGTTCCTCAGTCTTTCCTTGTCATGTATGATCTCGACAGTTTGAAGGCTATTGGCCAGTTATTTAATAGAAAGTCTCTTAATTTGGATTTGGTATTTCCTTGTAATTAAATTTATATTATTAATGTTTCGCAAGAATACTACCAAAGTAATCAAAAACACATGTCAAAATGTCTCGTTATTGTGATACTACCTTTAATCATTTGGTTAAAGTGTTGTCTACCAAGTTTCTTTAGTTTTCACTTTGTAATTAATAAATATCTTGTTAGATACTTTAAAACTGTGCAAATATCCTGTGTCTCATCTTTTCAACTACTGTTTTGAGATCTAATCACTATAATGTTTGCCAAATGGAACCTTGCTAGTTCCATCATTCCACTCACACTCATTGCCTGGAATCTTACTGTAAGGAAGAGCTGTATCTTCTGCTTTTATAAACATAGGTATATTTTGGTAAATGTACAATTTCACAAGTAATCAAAACAGTGCAAATTGCAATGAGAATGTAATGGTTTTTAAACTATTATGGTGACAAAAATCAAAAACAGCAGAAAACGTTCAAACATAATTTTCCCTTTATTATCCTGTCACTTACCCTGAAGAATTTATGACACCGTGACATGAATAATTACTCAAGTATAACATGGATTGACAGCAATTAAAAGCAGATTTTCCTTAATGAACTATGTCATTTAATAACTTAAAATTTTTATATTAAATATACAAATAGCAATAGTATATTAAATTGATCATTACAGTTCTTTCCTACTGCATCTCTCAGAAATACCTATTAAATACATATAAATCACTGAGATAAACAATTGATGCAGATTAATCCATGTATTCCTTAAAATTACCTTCAGAAATAGATTATTATGATAACCATTTATAAACTAGGAAACTGAACTCAGTTTTGTGAAATAAAAGACTAACATTTAGCTTTAGAATCTAAATTCATATCCAGGTGTGTATGATGATGGACTTCAACCTTTAAATTTTGTTAACATTATATAGGAAAATATTTCAAGAAATTTTAGACAATAAACTTGAACACTAGCTTAAAATGTAACCTAAAAGGCAAGGGTGTTAATATTCGTATCTGAAGTGAATCTACTTTGTCATAAGGAAAAGTTATATAAAACTGTTTGGCCAGGGACACCTGGGTGGCGCAGCGGTTTGGCGCCTGCCTTTGGCCCAGGGCGCGATCCTGGAGACCCAGGATCGAATCCCATGTCAGGCTCCCGGTGCATGGAGCCTGCTTCTCCCTCTGCCTGTGTCTCTGCCCCACCCCCTCTCTCTATGACTATCGTAAAAAAAAATAATAATAAAATAAAAATAAAATAAAATAAAAAATAAAAAATAAAAAAAACCTGTTTGGCCAGGGACACCTGGGTGGCTCAGCGGTTGAGCGTCTGTCTTTGGCCCAGGGCATGATCCCAGGATACAAGATAGAGTCCCACATTGGGTTCCCTCCCATGGAGCCTGCTTCTCCCTCTGCCTGTGTCTCTGCTTCTCTCTGTGTGTCTCTCATGAATGAATAAATAAATAAAATATTTCTCAAAAAATTGTTTAGCCAAACCCAATTGTATCCTGAATTCCTAAGTACAGAGCAGCAACTATATTTGTTTCTATGGAGACTAATTATTTTTTGACCCTTTGTTCTTAAGTACTCTTTTAAAAAATTTTTAAATGTTTTTAAAAGACAAACAGTATATGTTCTCATTCATTTGGGGAATATGAATAATAGTGAAAGGGAATATAGGGGAAGGGAGAAGAAATGTGTGGGAAATATCAGAAAGGGAGACAGAACATGAAGACTCCTAACTCTGGGAAATGAACTAGGGATGGTGGAAGGGGAGGAGGGCGGGGGGTGGGGCTGAATGGGTGACGGGCACTGAGTGGGACACTTGACGGGATGAGCACTGGGTGTTATTCTGTATGTTGGTAAATTGAACAATAAAAAATTAATTTATTAAAAAAAATAAATAAATCAAAAGTCAGCATTTTAAAAGAAAAAAATCACACAGAGAAAATTAAGTGTTTATGCTAGCCTCATAATGTTGATCCACATCCAGCATTCAGACTAGATCTTGACTTTTGAGGCCACAAAAAAATTACATTTTTCTAATAACATAATAATTACTTACAGTTCAGAAGTGGATGCATACAAGAAATGTCAGACAAAAGAAAACTGCTTTTGGGTGGCACCAGGTATTTCTGCCCCATTAAAGTAATCATTTTTGTAAAGCTAGAGTTGTTTTCAACAACCCGTGAAAATAAATCCTGTTCTGTAACAGATATATCTTCTTCCATCAATTGTAATGCCTGAAGTTCCGTTTCATTCAGAGAAGGCAAATGCTTCGCCATTGCACATAATTCTGACAAATTGCAGGTATCAAGTGGTAAGGTAACAGGCTCACTACACTTGTCCCATTTTTCAGAAAGTGGATGAAGAAAGCCACTTTTGAAACCTTCTTGGATTAACTCTGAAGAGCCATCCAAAATCAGTCCCCTGATCTGTAAGAAAAATTTGTTAAAATACATTAAAAGGTCATTTACATTAAAACACTTTCTCTAAAAAATGAAATTCCTACTATGCCTTGAATATATGAACTTATGGATTGAAATCAATATTTTAAAGCTTATACTAAAATAATTTTATAATAAAATGTAATGGTAAGAATATGAGTATACCTTTTAATTGCTGTTTCTTAAATGTGGAATAAAACAAACGTCAAAAATTCATTTAAAATTAAAAAAACGGGGCAGCCTGGGTGGCTCAGCGGTTTAGTGCCACCTTGAGCCCAGGGCCTGATCCTGGAGACCCAGGATCGAGTCCCACGTCAGGCTCCCTGCATGGAGCCTGCTTCTCCCTCTGCTTCTGCCTCTGCCTCTCTCTCTCATATGAATAAATAAAATATTAAAAATAATAAAATTAAATTAAATAAACAATACCTATAAAAAACGCATTCTTAAAAATGTATTATGAGTCTGCAAAAACAAAACAAAAAAAGATGAATTTGACATGTTTCCAGAAGAAAATAGAATTCCGGGGATCCCTGGGTGGCTCAGCGGTTTAGCGCCTGCCTTTAGCCCAGGGTGTGATCCTGGAGTCCCGGGATCGAGTCCCGTGTCGGGCTCCCGGCACATGAAGCCTGCTTCTCCCTCCTCCTGTGTCTCTGCCTCTCTCTCTCTCTCTCTCTATGTCTATCATAAATAAATTAATTAATTTTAAAAAAAGAAAGAATTCCTAATCTATAAAGCAAATTAAGTTGAAATCACATTTAATATTAAATTTTTCTAGTGATCTAATTTCAAAATCAACTTACCTTTAAATTTATAATATATTGCTTAAATTGTAAAAAAAAAAAAAGTATTAAGTGAGCTATAAACAAAGTTTTGTAAAACTACAACTACAGTAATTATACAATTAAAACTTAAGTTCCACTTCAAGGTAAGATGTAGTAGCAGAGATCAGATTTAACTTGTCATCTGAAATTATATTTTTAAAAAGTATAAAATTATTTTTTAAAGGTTTTCAAGACCTTGGATGGATGTCAACATCCATCAAGTGAACAACAATGGTCCCAAAAAAGGAGAAACAAATAATTGCTCCAGCTTACAGCCTTGAGAAAGTTTCCAGGCAGCAGCACAACAAAGGAGACCCATTCAGAGTCCAACAGTCCTTCTGAGTTGAGAAGATGCTGCTGCAAGTCTGGAAAGGTCAAAGCAGCTAGAGTTTGCAAGGCAGGGTATCAAAGAGGACAGAGCAACACAATTCTTAAAAGCTGCAGAAGAGTCCACTCAAGTCTACCCAAGGTCTGGGAAAGAAAAAGATGTGAAATGATCAGAGAACAATCCACAAGGCTCCCAACCAGCCAGAATGGAAAATCTCCTAATTTACAAGGCATCAAGTGGACTACTTAAAAGGGTATTGCCTCATGAGTAGAGGAAAAAATAGCTCTAAAGATTGCTCTAGTCCTAACTAAAAAACCTTAAAATAAGCTACAAAACTTTAAAAGAAAGTCACAAAAGCATCAACCAGTTTCAAAGTAACTTTGTCAAAGAACAAAGTTCAAGAATATGTATAGGAATATGATAATATCTAGTACCCAAAAAGCTAAAATTGAAAGGACTTACAAAAAATGAAATTATCAGGTATGTAGAGAAGATACAACACATTATGGAAGAATAATCATTCAATAGAAGCATGCAAGAATAACACGGATGATACAAATAGTAGAAAAGGTTGGACAGATTTACTTGTAGCCCATTTAAGTGATTAGGAACAAAAGTAGAAAAGGATAATATGGTATTTATCATAACCATATTCATACATTCAAAAATGTAAACCAAAATCCGAGTATGTTGAGACACAAAAATTACTAAAAAAAATAAATAATAGTTGAACTTCTGGAGAAAAAAGTACATACCACAGAATAATTGTGGATTGAGTTCCAGACCACCAGAATAAAGCCAAGTTATTGCAATAAAGTCAACCATTTGAAGGCAAGGGCTGCAAATGACTCATCTGCATTTTATAAATCAGATTATATACTCTTTTCTATAATCATTACATTTCTGTCCCTTTGGTGTAGTCTTTCTCAAAATACGGTATTTGGACTACTTCTAAATCACCTGATTGGAATTATCTGAAGGTCGTTAAAAATAAAAATTCCTGGTACCATATGGGAGACTTCGGTGATTTAGTTCCAGGCCACAATAAGGTGACTATTGCAATAAAGTGAGCCGAATGAATTTTTTGGTTTCCTAATGCATATAAAAGTTATATTTACACTATTCCATTAAGGATTCAATAGTACTACATCTCTAAAAACAATGTATATACCTTAATTTTAAAATATTTTATTGCTAAAAAAAATACAGACTATTAATCTGACTTTCAGCAAGTCATATTCTTACTGCCAGAGGAGGGTCTGGTCTCTGTGTTGATAGCTCTTGACTCATTAGGTGGTGGTTGCTGAAGGCTGAGGTAGCCAAGGCAATTTCTTAAAATAAGACAACAACAAAGTTTTCCACATCAATTGACTTTTCCTTTCATAAATGATTTCTCTGTAGCGTGAACACTATTTGATAGCATTTTACTCACAGTTGAACTTCTTTCCAAACTGGAGTCAATCCTCTCAAACCCTGTTGCTGCTTTACCAACCAAGTTTATGGAATATTCTAAGTCCTCTCTTACCATTTCAGCAATGTTCACAGCATCTTCACCAGCAGTAGATTCCACCTGAAGGAACCATTTCTTTGTTCATCCATCAGAAACAACCTCTCATCTTGTTAAAGCTTTATCATGAGATTGCAGCAATTTGGTCACATCTTTAGGCTCTACTTCTAATTCTAGCTCTCGTGCTATTCCCACCACATCTGCAGTGACTTCCTCCACTGAAGTCTAGAGCCCCTCAAGGCCACTCATTAGAGCTGGAATCAACTTCTTCCATTCCTGGTAATGATGATATTTTGACCTCTCCCGTGAATCACAAATATTCTTTTTTTTTAATCACAAATATTCTTAATGGCACCTAGAATAGTGACTCTTTTTCAGATTTTCCATTGACTTTGTGCCCAGATCCATCAGAGGAATCACTGCCTGTGGAAGCTATAGCCCTATGAAATGTATTTCAATAATAAGATTGAGTTGGAAAAAAAAAAAAAAGATTGAGTTGAAATTACTCCTTGATCCATGAGCTACCAACTGGATTTTGTATTTGCAGGCATGAAAACAACATACATCTAATTGTGTATCTCCATTAGAGCTCTTGGGTCACCAGGTGCATTATTAATAAGTACTACTTTGAAAGGAATCTTTTTTTCTGAGGTCTTTTTTTTTAAGATTTTATTTATTTATTTATTCATGAGAAACACAGAGAAAGAGAGGCAGGGACACACACAGAGGGAAAAGCAGGCTCTATGCAGGAAGCCTGACATGGGACTCGATCCCAGGTCTCCAGGATCACACCCTGGGCTGATGGCAGCGCTAAACCGCTGAGCCACCTGGGCTGCCCAGTAGGCCTTAACAGTAGGTTTAAAAGATTCAGTAAGTGAGGCACCTGGGTGGCTCAGTCAGGTAAGCATCTGCCTTCAGCTCAGGTCATGATCCCAGGATTCTGGGATCAAGTCCCACACTGGGCTCCCTGCTCAGTTCTGTCACACACTCTCTCCCAAAATCTTCTCCCTCTGAATGTGCTTTCTCTGTCACTTTCTCAAAAATCTTTAAAAAAAATTTTCAGTAAGCCATATAAACAGATATGCTGTCATGCAGGTTTTGTAGCTCCACTTATAGAGGAAACACATAGCAAATATACCATAATTCTTTTTTTTAAGATTTGAAAGGAGAGAGCATGTGTGCCCATGAGCAGGGAGAGAGACAGAGAGGAAGAAAATCCTCAAGCCAACTTCCCACTAAGTGCAGAGCCTGACACAGGGCTTGACCCCAGCACCCCAAGCCAAAATCAAGTGTCAGAAGTTTAACCAACTCAACCACTCAGGTGCCCCAATTTAGCATAATTCTTCAGGGCCCTGGAATTTTCAGAATGGTAAATGAGCACTGACTTCAACTTAAAGTTACCAGCTTCATTAGCCCTTAGTGAGTCAACCTGTTCTTTGAAACTTTGAAGTCAGGCCTTCTCTTATCTGTGAAAGGCTTAGCTGGCATCTTCTTCCAATAGAAGGCTATTACATCTACATTAGAAATCTGTGGTTTAGTGTAGCCTTCAATAATGATCTTAGTTACATCATCTGGATAACTTGCTGCTTCACCTCGCACTTTGCAGGTGAAGACACCTTCTTAAACCTCATGAACCAACCTCTGCTCGCTTCAAACTTTTCTTCCAACAAACTCCTCACACCTCTTCTCAACCTTCATAGATTTGAAGAGAGTTAGGTCCTTGCTCTGGATTAGGCTTTGACTTAAGGGAATATTGTGTATGGTTTGATCTTCTATCCAAACCATTAAAACTTTCTCCATCTCAGCAATAAGGCTGATTTCACTTTCTTATCATTCATATATTCACTGGGTTAAGACTAAACTTTCTTCAAGAACTTTTGCTTTGCATTCATAATTTGGCTAACAGTTTGGTGAAAGAGGCCTAATTTTCAGCATATCTCAGCTTTTGACAGGCCTTCTTCACTGAACTTAATTATTTCCAGCTTTTGATTTAAAGCATGAGACATCTTGGAGTGCCTGGGTGGTTCAGTCGGTTAAGCATCTGACTCTTGATTTTAGCTCAGATCATGATCTCAGGGTCATGAGATTGAGCCCTGTGTCGGACTCTACACTGGGCATAGAGCCTGCCCTCCCCTGCCACCCTGCACTCTGTCTCAAAAAAAAAAAAAATTAAGTATGAAACCAGCAACTCTTCCTTTCACTTGAACACTTGGAAGGCAATTGCAGGGTTATTAATTAACCTAATTTCAAGACTGTTGTGTATCAGGCAACAGGGACCTAAGAAGAGGGAGAGAGATGGGAACAGCTGGTTGGTGGAGACGTAAGATCACAC